CCTTTTCTAGCTTGTCTCCTCTCTCCAATCTCTCCTGCGTGTCTCTTTGCAATTAATTCTTCTACTAATAATTACTTGTAGTAATTTACTAGTCTCGGTCAAAGTTGTCAAAATCTCGCTTGTGTAGTACGATTTTAAGATTTTAGTTAAAAGAACCATTAAAAAAGGCTAGACAATCGACAAATTCTCAAGCAGCTCAATTAGTATGCCAAAAGAGTAAATTACACCCACGATAAAACAACTTAGCAGGTGAGTGCAATATAGTGCTAGAACTTTAGAATTGAACATCCGAGTGCAACAACTTGACAAGTGGGTACGTTCTAGTATAAGAACTTAATAATTTAGTATTTTATTGAATTAATTTAGCTAAGCATATGCTAGATGAGATTTTTCACGATGTCAGTATGCCAATACACAATGATCATACGGATATTACCTTATATATGAATTTAATATTTAAGAATTATGTTGCACATACAATTTACATCCAATTACCTTTAAGAATTTTTTGTTTTCTTCACCTTCTCAATTATCAACTGAAATATAATAATTTCTTAATCCAGTTTAATTGACTTTCAGTTATTAGTTATTAGGATAAAAATATAAATATATTTATATAGATCATGCTAGTATATTGTCAAAATAAGTACTTTAAAAATTTTAATTTATATAAAAAATGCTCTAAATAATTAAGTTGTCACATAACTTCTTAATTTATTGTATCAAAATCCTACCTATTTTACAAGTTGTTGTATTTATACGATCACTTATAAAGTTCTTATACTAAATTGCACCTTCCTACCAAGTTGTTGCACTAGAACGTTCATTTTCAAGTTATTGCACCAAATTACACCCACCTGCCAAGTTGTTGCACCGTAAGTGCAATTTACTCATGCCAAAATGTAACTCACTCCTCTGTTCCAAATAGCTGCCCTTCATCCAGCTCTTTCAGCTGAGAATGACAACATTCATCATGTACTATGCTTCTAATGAATAAATTTCCTTTGTTCTCAAAAAAAAAAGAACCATTCTATTGTATATATAAGATCTTAGCCTTTTTCGCTACTCCCTCCGTCCCAAAAAACCGAATCTAGTACTGAATGTGACATATTCTAGTACAATGAACCTAGACATATGTATGTCCAGATTCGTAGAACTAGGATGTGTCACATTCAGTATTAGGTTGGTTTTTATATAGGACGGAGGGAGTACATCCTAAGGACACGAAAGCCACGGTTACAAGTGGTCTCGAGGGGGCTGTTCAATTTGCCAAAATAAATCTTACCAAATTTTGACAATGCCAAAAATTTTAGTAGGATTTCTTATGTATTTTTTAAAGTTTGGCAACAAACTAAACGTAGTCACTTTTTTGGCAGGAGTATGTTTAAAAATGGCATCAAATAGCCCCAAGATGTCACATAGTTAAGGCCAAAAGAAGTCACACCTCTTTACAATGGAGGCTACTGTAAAGTGGTATTTTTATTTCGGCCCCTAAGATTTTACATGTCAACCCTTCTTAAATATTTTATTTTTAGATGATTGAAATTTTTATACTTTAGACCCTATGACAAAAAAAAACACATATATACCCTAAACTTTAACGGTCCCACTATCAGTCTATCACTTTCAATATCCTCACCCACCCCTCTCCCCCACGGAATCCCCACCGAACCAGAGGCATCACTGTCGGTGCTATTCTCTCATCTCTCTCTCTTCCCTTTCAACGTCGGTGAAGCTCCCCTCTCCTCCTCGGCGGAGCCGCCTCTCCATTCTCTCTTCCCGCAAACTGGGCCGTCGTGGGCTGATGAACTCCTAGGCGGAGGGCAACGAGATCAGCACGGATTGAGGCTTCCTCCCGGCCACCGTGACGGGCGACAGGTCCTAGGCAGCGTGGATCGAGGTGGCTCCCTCCACGACACCACCGTTGGCATGAATCGAGGCGGCTCCCTTCCCAGCCATCGATGTAGATCTGGGCGGCTTCCGCCACGGTCAACGCCTCCTTTCCTTTGTCTGCCAGCGTATGTCCCTCCTTGCCGTCGTGACGGGCTCACTCCTGACCTCTCTTCCCTCCCCCCCCCCCCCCGGCCACCGCGACGAGCTCCTCTCCACATAGGTTGACAAGATTAGTGGCGTGGAAGTTCTCTCCCCTCTCCACCAGCGAGATCGAGCCGCCACTATTGGCGCGGATCGAAGCTTCCTTTCCGGCCACTGCGATGGGATCCTAGGTGGTGGATCCGACCTCGTTCTTGCTGGATCCGTGCGGTGCGACAAGGGCGGGGAGCAGATCATCAGACGACGACCTCGACGACGGCGACGGGTTGTAGTAGTCGTGATGGAGTGTAGCAACGACCTCGGCAGCGACGGGTTGCGGATACGGCGGGTCATGCAGCGGCGGGGTGTAGTGGCCACGACCGAGTGAAGTCACAACCTCAGCGTGGGCACGTATTGGTTCTCTCTTGGACAACATAAACCCATCTTCTCTCTCCTAAAGCCACCATAAATCATAGTTACCTCTGCAAGCTTCTCTGCTACCCTACGAGACCACTTCAAACCTCCAGCGTGGTATCCGAACCTAGCTGGAACTTGAGACCACAGTTATAAGGTACCACGTTCTACATGGCCTAACAACTTTATTCGTATAGCAATCTAGTCTGGTAATATAAATTTAAAAAAGATTATTTTTAGGATAGATGGAGTAGCAAGCATCGATCTTCCTAGCATTCAAATCGGCTCCAGATTCCAGACCATTCTCTGTGCTTACGTAGAAGCTGAACTTTCGAAGCCGGCGCACATAGCAGGGAGGAAAGCTCCAACAATTTTAGTGTGGTGGGGGCACGGACAAAACACACAAACGTTAATGGCCTTGCGAAAATGATGATTGCTTGCCGCTGACAACAGTTCCTTGCACACACATGGCATAGTGTCATTTCGCCTGACTTAGCAGTAAATGCCACCGGGACCGAGACTAGTAGTCCAGCAGTAGCAGTGCGCGATCGAGCAACTGACCGATCAGTGGACCAATGTGGATTTTGTGCCCCATTCGTATGTGTGGGGAGAGGGATATTTGTTTGTACTTGTACACATGTGGATTTTGAACTTAATCTTTCTAAAGCTTTTTATTCATAAAGAACATACTCCAGTACTCCAGTCGATAAGCACACATGCATACAAGATCAGCGCCGAGGTGAAATTTAGTCTAAGGGGCTGTTCTAAAGTGAAGATTGAATTGACTATTTTCTCGATTTTCGTTTGAATGCTTTTCAAACTGCTAAATAATATATTTTATTAAAAAATATAAAATTTGCTTTTAAAAATTAAATAATGTTATTTTTAATTTTTAATAATTGATACACAACTAATTATATGCTAATCATATTATCGTTTTGCATGCGGCTAATCAGCCATTCCTATACTCTGTTTATAACTCACCCTTAGTGACCAGATTATTGCAGTGAATTATCTGCATGATAAATACAAACTAAATATTGTGGTGAATAAACTTGATAAATAGCTTAGAATAAGGGATCTAAGCAATAAGCAATGTGGTACAAGGAGTTTATTTATTAGAACATGTATTTTTATATACGTAGGACAAATAATTGACGGTAATAATTTGATGAAATAGTTATAAGGAACATGGCGTTCACATACCGTTTAGAGCTCTAAAAGCACTAAGGGGTGACGGAATTTTGAGGAAACCAAAACGGTTTCGAAGACACTAACATAATTAAAGAGTTTCACCTCCAAAGAAATAAAAGAAAAGAATCATAAGAATTACTCTTTCCATTTTATATTATAAGACGTTTTCATTTTCTTTTAGTTAAATATTTTATATTTGATCAAATATATAAAAAGACATAGCAATATTTTCAATACAAGATAAACATACTACTAAAATATATTTAGTATTAAATTTAATAAAACTAATTTGGTATTACGGATATTGCAATTTTTCATAATTTTAGTCAAACTTAAGGAAGTTTGTTGAAAAAAATTCAAAAGCATCTTACAATGAGTACTACTCCCTTCATCTCATCACCTCAATATAAGTGTATCTAAAATTAGATGTGATATTTTATAATATAACGAATTTGAACAGCTAATTATCCATATTCATTATAATATAAAATATCATATCGATGCTAGATGCACTTATATTAAGACATAAAATGTATATTCGTAAAAAGAAAAGTTTACTTATCTACATGAATATAAATATCACTTGTTCAGATTAAAATAAAGTAGTCAGTTCTGGGACGGGGCAGTAGCTACGTGATGGGCTCTATATGAGAGTACACTACTGGTTACGGAGTATATATGGGCATGCATGGTCTTCGATACGTTGACATGTATAGACAAGCATCAGGCATCTCGTACGACAAAAAGCGCATTGCATTGCACCGTTCTACTATCTGACAAGTGACAGCGGCCAGCCTGTGTTTAACTGTTTGATCAGTAACATCCTGTTTGGCTCACCAAAAGATAGAGAAAAACCACCACTCCTACAGTACTGCAATAAGTTGATACGACGAGTTTTTTTTTTTTTTGAAAACCTGATACGACGAGTTAAATGCACAAGAAAACCTTCCTCTTAATTAATTTAATTTAGACGCGTTTCTTACGTAAATGAATTAGTAGGAATACTTAGGAATCTATGTTTCATGTTTTATTTAGTCAATTCGGAGCTTTGGATAATAAATAAAAATACCAAGACATATAAAAAAGAAAGAATTTGTAATAACAATGGAACAGTTATCTATATTATTCTTCGTTTGCGCGCTTGTTTCTCTTTTCAGAATATGCATGTTGCGTATTTTTTTTAGTAAGCTTAATTTCCTTAGCCTTTTCAAAGTAAAAGAAAAAACGTCTCATTTTAATTGGAGTTTATTTTGAAACCCGAAAAGTAAGTTGTTGATTGGAAAAAAAAATGGAAAAAAAAATAAAGAAAAAAGCAGCAGAAACAAAGTAAAATACAGAGTAGGAGTGAGTAGTTTACTCACGAAGACGCCGGCGGTGGTGACGTCGAGGCCGGAGCCCGCGGAAGCGAAGCAGACGCCGGTGGCGAAGTCCCGGATGCCGTAGTCCGGGTCGAGGTAGGCCGGGACGAAGGGGCGGAGGCCGTAGGCCTCGGAGTAGAAGTCGGTGGCGAGGCGGCCATTGCAGAAGCGCCCAGTGGCGCGGCGGCCCGGGAAGTCGCGGCCATAGGGCGGGAAGTTGCTCCGCACCACCGTCTGCACCGCGTTGTTGTTCCCGGCGTCCACCGTCGAGTCGCCGAACACGATCACCGCCGTCACCCGCGCCCCCACCGCCGCCGTCCGCCCCAGCAGCAGGAGTAGGAGGAGGAGGATGCCGCCGAGCAGCTGGCGGTGCGGCCCCGACGACGCCGCCGGCATGCTGGTCGGTGGTGTAATATCCTTTTTTTGGACTAATTAATTATTAAGCTGAGACCGTGGGAGGGCACTGCTGCGACGCGAGAGAGATGGGAGGTTTAATTGGGAGAACGACGTGAAAAGCGGCAGCGGCAGCGGCAGTGGGAGGGAGTAAAAGCGGGAGGCGTGGTTGCATGCGATGCGACTCTCTGCGGCGGTTCGGTGCAGCCCCACGCCGCCACCGCGTGTTGTCGAACTTATGGAGCGGAGAGGAGATAGCCAATTTAGGCACCCTAAATAATCCTCGGCGTTACGGCGAAGCACATATTTGCGCCTGCAGCGTGGCTATTTTTTCCTTTGGGATTTGTCTCCAAGGTTGGCGCGCCCGGCTGGCCGCGCGCGCGTGAACCTGATATTTTTCTCAAGACCGTGAACAAATTCAGGAATCGTACGACTGCGGGCACTTCTCTAGGAGCGGCCGGGGCAAATGCACGACCACGACAAGGCTGGCCAGCTCGAGTTCGGCCTCCAGCTAGCACCCGTGTGCTAGCGGATCCAAATTTTTTGCCAAAAACACAAAATGGCTGGCTGTTGCCTTAGTTGCCGTGACGAGAAAATTGACAAACACAATTATAGGCCGGAGATATCCTCATATATACTCCTTCCGTCTCAAACTATAAGCATTTTTAAACTCGACACAGTCTTTGAGATGCTACTTTAACCAACAATATCTACAAAAGTAAGATGTTTTAAATGAAATGAGTTGCACACACTAGTAAAAAAAGCTTATAGAGATCAGCACTATAGGTGCCGGAACAACTAAAACCGGCACCTATAATGCTTTTCCCTCTTCCGTGGGCTGAAAACACATAAAACCGACACCTTTAAGCAACTATAAGTGCCGGTTCTAAAGAAGAACCGACACCTATAGTATAGGTGCTGGTTTTTTAAAAAAACCCGACACCTTTAATAAAATACAGGTGCCGGTTTTCTAAAGAAAAACCAACACCTATACTATAGGTGTCAGTTTTTCTTTAGAACCGACACCAATAATAAATTATAGGTGTCACCAATAATAAATTATAGGTGTCGGTTTTTTAAAAAAACCGGCAGCTATCCAAGCTGCCGAGCCGAGCCGAGCTAACCATTGGCCTTATCCTATATGAGAACCTTATCGCCTCGTCTTCTCTCGTCTTCTCTGAATTTCTCTCGTTCTCTCTTGCCTCTTTCTCTCTTGCTTCTCGTCTCACTCACCTCTCTATATCGCGCGCGGCGGCAGCGGGCGACGGGCGGAGGCGGCGCCCTCCCCTCCACCGGATCTGGCAGGAGGGGAGGCGGTGGGCGGTGGCGGCAACGCCCTCCCCTCCGCCGGATCTGGCAGGAGGGGAGGCGGCGGGTGGCGGATCTGGCGGAGGGGAGGCGGTGGGCGGTGGCAGAAGAGCGGCTCACCAGCGACGAAGCAGATGGTGGAGCATGAAGCGAGCTCTCCTCCCTCGTCTCTTGTAGATTTATTTTAGATGTTTTTGTGGATTTGTGGATGATTTTTTTAGATGTTTTGGTGGATTTGTGGATTGGAGTATGTTCATACTGTGATGTCAATTGATTTTGGTGGCGATTTGTGGATGATTTGGGGATTTGAGGATTTTGGGGATTTTAATTTGATTTGGGAGCAACTTGGGCGATGACGCAGTGACAGTGCGCAGTGAGCTCGGCTCAATTCGAGCCGAGCCGGTCTTTTTTTTTTGGCTTGAGCAAAGCTAAAGGTGCCGGTTTATTTTCTTCATTGGTGCCGGTTGCTAGTATTGGTGCCGAGCAATAGGTGTCGGTTAGGAAACCGGCACCTATAGCCGGTTGGGAACCGGCACCTATGGCCCTTTCTGTAGTAGTGACATTACGAGAGTTTGTTTAATGATAAATCTAGTAACATCAATTTTACTCCGTCCGTCCCATTTTAAGTGCAACCATAAGTTTCCGCGTCTAACTTTGATTATTTGTCTTATTTGAAAAAAAATTATAATTAGTATTTGTGTTGTTATGAGATGATAAAACATGAATAGTACTTTACTCGTGACTTATGTTTTTAAGTTTTTTTTTTAAAAAATTTCAAATAAGACGGACGATCAAAGTTGGCACGGAAAACCATGGCTGCACTTAAAATGGGACGGAGGGAGTACATGATTGATTTGTTTTATATTTTTGCTATTAATAGTCAAAGTTAAGAATGTTTGACTTGGCACTATTCTAAAAATACTTATATTTTGGGACAGAGGGAGTAATAAAGAGGGCAGTTAGAGCACGGGGTTCAATTCCGTTAGAATGACATAACAGTTAATGGTACCGATGAGCAACCCTGTGCGATGTCACCAGTAAATATGTTTCACGTAGCACGTCTTTTCTTACCCTAGGCACATAGGTGTCATGCGCCTGTTAGTTATCGAGAGCCGTCTAGTCCACCATGCCTAACTGTCGACGAGTGATACTCACGGATCGAATGAATAGAGTATTGGGGTACGTAGGAGCAGGGGACTACGTAGTACGATATCAAAACAGACAAAAGACAAGGATTATACTGGTTCAGGCCCCTTATCAGTTAATAGCCCTAGTCCAGTTTATATGGGATTGATGATGATGAGAACATATTACAAAGAGAGTAACCGAAACAGGCGATATCGACGAGATCGTAGTCGAGGGATTCAACGAGATCTCCCAGCGAGTTGGCTCCGCATACTCCGGCTTCGTAAACTCTGGTGGATGTATTGGCGATGAGATTCAATGCCCTTCGCCTCTCCCTAGGGGTCCCTTTTATACCATGGAATACCTTGACCCTCAAGTAAGACTTAGGGATATGTAAATTGGCACGATATAACCAGAGATTTTTCCCCCTCTGAGTAGGACTCCGGCAATTTATTAAATCATAGAGATATTTTCCATAACTTGAGATAAATTCCTAACGGCGTAGACGAAAACGATCCGTACACGTGAAGGTATACCTTTTCGGTATATTTCATAAATCATAGGATAGAGGGTATGCCTTATCCGTAACCCTGACATTGCCTTATCCGTAACCCTGACAGTAGCCCCCAACTTCAACTTAAATGAATTCAGGTTATCGCACGCGACTTCTCCTGATAACGCGTTGTCGTACTCGCTAGATCGATCTCGGTTGTCTAACCGTAGAGACATGGAGCTATCGACAACACTTACAGGGAGCCCATCAATGTGAACTTTGAATTTAAATTGAAGTCTGAACAACGGCCTTTAACGGGCCTCAGGAAATTTTAGCGGCAATCTCTCCCCTTTCCTCGAAATACGAACCGTTAGGTATGCGCCTATTTAATGGAATTTTAGGATCAATTTCAAGTCCGCCTGCTAGAAAAACCCTTACTATTCCCCGGCTCTCTCGGACTCTCCGTTTCCCCAATCTTCGACACTTTCCACCGGCGATCCTCTTCCGGTGACCTCTTTCCAATGGCAGACCTTGACCAGTCTTCCTCCGACGCGGCTGCGTTGAAGAAGCTGTACACTGAGGGGGCTATCCCTCCAAAGCAGATCATGGCGAGGGAAGCATGAGGTACTAATCCTTCCCCCATCCTAGGTCATATGGGAGCTGTAGAGGATTTCGTCCGATGCGGTTTCCTACCTCCTCCTTCCGAATTTCTTTTATTGGTCTTGAACTTCAACGGCCTTTCTCTCTTGCACCTAAACCCCAATTCCATCGCTTTCTTGAGCATTTTTGCTCACCTCTGCGAGGCCTAAATTAGGGTAGTACCTCTCCTTGACCTCTTTCACTTCTTCTACGAACTCCGGTGGATGGAAGCAAATCGGGTTTCGGGATGTTGTGAGTTTCGCCTTCGTGACGGCATGGAGGCGAAATACATCCCTCTCCAATGCCACACATCCCGGAGCCAATGGAGATCGAGATGGTTGTACCTCGAGCTCAAAGAACTCGACCCGATTCTTGTTGTGCCTGAGGTCCAACCGGAGCGTTCTGAGGACTGGACCTCGAAACCTCCATTAACACCCTCTCTCCAAGCCTTTGTCAATGCCGTGAGTGAGCTTCGCGAGTGAGGACTGACCGACTATGAAGTCGTCGAAGACTTCGTTAGTCGTCGGATCCAACCGCTGCAAGCCCATGCTCATCCCGCATTCGACTACATAGGAGTTGAGGACGTAACTCGAATTTCTTCGCGGGGTATTTGTCCTTGTGTTGTATCTTCTTCTTATTTTTGATGTTGAATTTGCAGACGAGATCTATTCTTATCTTCTTGTATCTTCTTCTGTTTCAGATCTTTCTGTTGACATCGTGACGCAGCGGGTCAAGGAGGTCTTGATCACTGCTGCCTCCACGGTTGACGAGCCACCGGTCCCGCTCTGCGACAAGTCGGCAGCCGAGAAGGTTGCCACCATCAATGTAAGCGAGAACGGGGGCACGTCGTGTCTTTATTCTTTTAAAGGGCCAAAGTGACTTCAGCTCCTGTAGGCCTTGCCATTGACGGATGTTATCAGTCCCCTTGTTGACCACCAGGCCTCCGCCTCGCTGAAGGAGAAGGTTGCCGATGAAGTCGCCAATGTCTCCTCCGTTCCCGCCATCGCAGGGGGCAGCGGGACCAAGCGGAAGCCCTGAGCGAGATCGAGCGCTCCCGCCAGTTCTTGGCAGAAATCTGCCGGCTCCAAGGTAAAGCGCACCGTCGTTGCCCTTTGACTCCTTTTTAGAGATATTGGAATGGGGTCATGATTTGCTATCTTATGCAGGACACGGGCAGTCTGGCTCCTCCAAAGAGGAGGACGTTAAAGCTGCCCGCCGGCAAGTAAGTGAAACTCTTGACCAACTCCGTTATCGTATCTTTTGACATTTGCTGATGATATCTGCTGACCTTGACAGGAAAGCATCGGCGATCTCCGTGCAAAGCGGGAGAGAGGAGGTGACGAGTGGATCCCCCGCCGCTATCATCCCTCGTGTGGAGGTGGCTCCTGTTGTCGCTAAGTCCGCGGGATCTGCTACTGCTCCTGTGACCGCGCCGCCGCCCAAAATAGCCACTTGGTCTGACATGGTGGCCGAATGCCACCGCCTCCTCGAGAACAGTTCTCGGGCGGTGGTGGCCCAGATGGATCGTGTGGTGGCCCGCGCGACGGCGGCGGACGGAAGGGTGGCCCAGCTGGAGGCACAACTCGAGGTTGCCCATGAAGACCTTTAAAAGATGAAGGAGATCGTGGCCGGCAACGAGATGCAACGCCAGGGCTTGGAGAAGAA